CCCCCTCTCCCAGTGGGGATCCCAGCATAAACAGCGACTTGACTTTGCCTCTGTGCTTCTGGGCTCCGAGCTGGGCTGGGCCCCCTGAACCTGTGGGCAGCTGGCAGCTAGAGCTGGGCGGGTTCCCAGGCGTGGGCGAGGCCAGAAGGATGGGGCAGATTGGGCGGGAGCGGAGGGGAGACCGCAGAGCCGGAGCGGAGGGGAGAGAGCCAAAGCCAGAGGCCCCAGATGGGACCGGCTGGGCAAAGGAGGGCGCGGGCCGCCAGGCGCCAGGAGAGCCGCCAGGCCCTGCTTGCGGAGCCTCAGGCTGCTCTATTAATCCTGGCCCCTGGGAACTGAAGAGGTTCCCCCACTGGGTCTCCGTGGCCCTGGAGCCTCCCCCACGGGGCCTCCGCTAGGGAAACCAGAGTCCAGAGGGGAATAGCAGGCGAGAGGCAGGGAGGGGCCGGCTGGGCTGGTGGCCGCCTGGGGAGGCGGCTGAAGCACCTTGTTTGTGAACACCTGTCCCTGCGGCTGCACCCCGGGGGCCCTCAGCTCTTCCCAAACACGGCTGCCTCCCAGGCTGGCGCAACCACCCTCCGCAGAGAGGCAGGGCGTGGGCTCTGCACGGAGGGCGCCCAGCTCAGGGCTGGCGCCGTGGGCGCTCCACGCCGAAGGGGGCTGTTCATGAAACAAGTGGGGTGTGGGGGTGAAGGCGGCGGCGGCGCTGGGGCCCTTATTCTAGGCCTTCCCTGGGTGGGGCAGACCCTGGAAGCTCCCAGGGAGCCCAGACCCTGACACCAGCCCCAAAAGAGACAGGCCCCACGGAGACACCCTGACAGGGGTGAGGGCAGCCTCGGACAGCTTTGGCCCTGGCTCCCCGAACCAGAGCCTCTGACCTGAGGGTGCCAAGAAGCAATCATTTCTATAAATTCTGCAATTAACCTGATCAATAGCACAGTTCTATTGCGTTGCAAACGTTGCAGTATTTGTGTAAATGCGTAACATGTGCCAGGTATTCTGTAACCCTGTTTGGGATGTTCCTTCTTAGGGGGCCACGAGCCTCCGTTGAATATTTAATATCCAATCAAT